CATGGGTTCCTGTTAAGTTTCTCAGGATCCACATAAGAGTGAATGTATGTTTTAGTTTTTAATGGCTATTGTTTAGAATATATTAAGTGTATCCGTACTGGGTTGGGGGTCTCAAAGACTACCCCTCATGTTCAGTGTTCACAGGGAGGATGCTAGGACTCAGAATATAGTTGTACTCAAGGCTATTATCTACTAAATGAAAGGCTCCAAAGCAAAATTAGCAGAGGGAACAGGTGCATGGGGTGAAGTCCAGAGGAAACCAGGCACAAGCTTCCAAGACTCCTTTCCTAGTAGAGTCACACAGGACAGACACACTTAGTTCCTCTAACAACAGGTTGTGTCAACACATGTGAGATATTACTGACCAAGGAAGCTCATTTAGAGACTCAGTGCTCAGGTTTTTTTTTTTTTTTTAAGTGTATTTATTTAGTTTGAGAAAGAGAGATCACAAGTGGGGGATGGTTAGAGAGAAGGAGAGACAGAATCCCAAGCAGGCTCCACACCATCAGCACAGAGCCCAGTGTGAGGCTTGAACTCCTGAATCGCGAGTTTATGACCTGAGCCAAAATCAAGAGTTGGATGCCGACTGTGCCATCCAGGCACCCCAGTGCTCAGGGTTTTTAATTAGAGGCTGGATAGTCATGTAGTCACCCCTCTGCCTAGCCCTTACCAAAATTCTACACTCTCAGAAGAAAAATAGGTGTTCAGCATAAACCACATTGATTGTACAGTTAGGTCTAGTGAGCCACTCTCATTAGTTAAGGTGGTAGGAATCTTTCCCAAATCCAAGTTCCCAGATGCTATCCACAGGTCAGCATTATAAGCAAAACTTTCAAGTAGTCAGGCCTGCTATGTTATCTTTTTCCTGCACACTTACCTCATTAAATCATTTTATATAGTTATAATTATTAACATCATCACTGTGCTACACACAGAATTACCCTTTCAAAATTGTTTTACTTATGAATTGATACAGTTTTACTCTGTGATCATCTTTTAGAATTAGGTTGCTCTCCATTTAAGGAGCTTATTTCTGGCTTTGCATAATGAATTTTGTATGATTAAAATTACTGGAAATCTTGCCTTTATATAATTCCTACAGTAAATTTTATCCAGGAGAGAATAATTCTTACCTATGTATTTTTAACTTTAATGTGAAGAAATAGTAGGATTTTTCCAAATGTTTAATGACCAAATGAAGAATACTACTTGGAGGCTAATAAGATTTTCTCAAGATCCCCTTTATGAAAAAAAAAGTTTATTAATAATCTTGAGTGCCTACTCTATGAGGAAGAGTAGTGTTAAGTGCTGAAATATACGGTGACAAGACAGAAATGGTCCATATGCATATAAAACTTAATATCCTTATGAATATATCAAGTGACTTCTGGGAAAGAAAAATATTTTGCTACTATTGGGGCCATAAATTTCATAAAAATTAATGTTACTGTAGTATTTATATTTAACAGTTTCACTATTTTCAAATTTCTGAATGCCAGTTTGTGTTACTGAGTTTTGATTCTCAAATAGGGATGACATGTTTGCTCCTGCTAATTTATACATCAGAATCACTGCAGAAATCCTGACGGGGGCACCTGGGTGGCTCAGTCAGTTAAGCGTCGGACTTCTCAGGTCATGATCTCGCGGTTTGTGGGTTCGAGCCCTGGTCAGGCTCTGTGCTGACAGCTCAGAGCCTGGAGCCTGCTTCAGATTCTGTGTCTCCCTCTCTCTCTGACCCTCCTCTGCTCATGCTCTGTCTGTCTCTGTCTCAAAAATAAATAAAACATTAAAAAAATTAAAGAAATCCTGATGTAACTCCCACTCCCTTACCCGCTTTCTCCCTCTACCCTACACATTCCTTTTGTCCCTACCTTCTAAAAGAATCTTATAACAATGAGCCATTCTTACTAATGGGAGTGTATTGTAATTCCCAGATCTAATGGTATAGAAGACAGCATTAAGAATCAGTGTTGTAGGGGCGCCTGGGTGGCGCAGTCGGTTAAGCGTCCGACTTCAGCCAGGTCACGATCTCGTGGTCCGTGAGTTCGAGCCCCGCGTTGGGCTCTGGGCTGATGGCTCAGAGCCTGGAGCCTGTTTCCGATTCTGTGTCTCCCTCTCTCTCTGCCCCTCCCCCGTTCATGCTCTGTCTCTCTCTGTCCCAAAAATAAATAAACGTTGAAAAAAAAAATTAAAAAAAAGAATCAGTGTTGTAGTGCTTTTCAGATTATATACGTAGTAAGCTCTGCCTCCTTTAATAAAAGAAAAAAAATTAGGGAAGGAAGAAGGGAAAATAATGAAATCTAAGCTTGTGAATCCATCATGGCTGGATTGTTTTGTATTTATCCTTCCATGTTTTGAAATAAAACTGGTAGCTAAAAGTCATCAGTGGTTCTTAAGTGCATGTGCTCGTAATTATCAGCTAATTATTTCTGTTCTATTGTCCTCAAGAAGCGTAAATACCTATTATGAATTAGCTCAAGGATGCCTGGGTGGCTCAGTCATTTCAGCCGCCAACTCTTGATTTCAGCTCAGGTCATGATCTCCTAGTTTTTGAGTCTGAGCCCTTTGTCGTAGGGCTCTGTGCTGACAGCCTGCTTGGTATTCTGTCTCCCTCTCTGTCTGCCCCTCCCCTGCTTGTTCTCTCTCTCTCAAAATAAATAAAAATAAACCTAAAAAAAACAAATTAGCTCATACAGGTAATGGATGCTCATCTCAGAAAAAATTTTAAATTATAATTTTCCTCTTATGTAATGTTGGGAACCTAAATATTATTACCTTTTGACAGTTTAATCAGAATCTCCTTTGGTCATTTGCTGTATTCCTTAGTTCCTGAGAAGTCTCATTCTGAGTTTGGAATGACGAGAAGTGCTCATCCTGAGGCGGCAGTAAAGGTTATCCAGTCCATGGCTCGCTTCATGGCCGCCTATTTCACCAATCAGCCGCTTTGCATTTTGCCACCTCACAATGTGAATGTTCTTCCTCCCCTTCATACTAAAACAGGTAATATAGTAAGCAAATAATTTTCTCACTTTGTTTATTCACATAATATTTAAAATCATATTATACAGTGATCATTATTCTATGGGAATAATACTGTTCTAGCTTAGTGTATGACACATAGGAGATTCTCAGTGACTGTAAACGAATAAAATCTGAGAAAGGTAATTGCTTGGGTTTGTTTTTATTGAATATGGATTGTTTAATTACAGTATTATAGTTGACCAATGAACAATGCAGGGTTAGTGGTGACGACCCCCTGTGCAGTCAACAATTCACATATAACTTCTGACTCCCCAGAAACTGTCAATAAACTACTGTTGGCCAGATGCCTTATCCATAAGATAAACCGTTAATATGCATTTTGTATAATATACTGAATTCTTATAATAATGTAAGCTAGAAAAAAGAAAATGTTAAGAGAATTATACGAGGGGCTCCTAGGTGGCTCAGTTGGTTAAGTATCCAACTTCGGCATAGGTGATGATCTCATGGCAGTTTGTGAGTTCGAGCCCCGTGTCAGGTTCTGTGCTGACAGCTCAGATTCTATGTCTCCTTTTCTCTCTACCCGTTCCCTGTTTGTGCTCTGTCTCTCTCTCAAAAATAAATTTAAAAAATTTTTTTTAAATTATACAAGAAAATACATTTATATTACTGTACTGTATTTATCAAAAGAAATCTGCATGTAAGTAGACCTGCACAGCTCAAATCCATGTTGTTCAAGGGTCAACTGTATTTATTATTTATTATTATTTATTATTTATTTATTTATTATTTATTTATTTATTTATTTATTTTGGTGGTTTTACATTTAAGCTCTCTTTTTGTTATAGCCCTAGGTATTTATCACTTGTGTTCCCTATCTTTGGTAGTAATGTTTCTGACAACAAATTGTATCCTTAGTTTGCATCATTTTACTGAATAGAAGAAGTAGCACTCCGTGTGGTTTTTAGAAAAATCTTAAAAAAAAAGGTCAAATCCTGACTTAGAAAATTTGTCTCAATTTCTTGTCTTTCCTATCCTATATTATTTATAGGACTTGAGCTGTTTGACATGATCTTTTCAGATCACTTTGCATACCTAGGGAACATTGATTTTTCTCACACTGTAGGAAAAAAGGTGATAGAATTATTGAATTGATTTTGGGCATATTCATAAACATTTATAAAAGCTCAAAGACACACCTTTTAATTCCTTTTAATTTATATTTGTTTGTAAATATCTTCCCAGTGAGAGGAGAGGCTAGGAAAGAAAATTTTGTGATCTCTTCCTAAGCCTGAGACGGTAATTACTGAAAATCTAAATACCTGGAACTTGGTATATAGCCTTTAGTTTCTTTAATTTCCTAGTATCTTGAAAAAGGGTATCTATAGTCTTGACTTATAATAGATTTCATATTAATCTTTTAAATCAGAACTAGTGACAGAATGTATTGGGGATTTGTGTTGCTTATTTGATGTGATGTTTATTGTATGAAAGCAAAGCAATAAAATTTTCAGAAAATTAAATCATTCAAGTTCTTTCAATAGTACAGTACCTTTCTCATAGTAAATGAAAAGCTAGGACAAATTTAATCAATATCCTGGCTGTTTGCCTATGCAGAATCAAACATTCAAGTGAATGACGAAATTTTTTGTTTCTATCCAAATGTGTTTGTCAAAGAGCCAAAGTGTTAGTGTTTGGTGTGGGGAGAGACTATGTTGATCACATGAGAAACTAATTGTTTCAAGAAGCAGAAACCCACATATACTATTTGCCAGTTTTATTTTGAGGGAGTGAGTGGAAATCTTAGCAATATATGTTTTTATTTTATTTTTATTTTTTAAAATGTTTTATTTTTGTGAGAGATCAAGAGAGAGGGGGGCAGAGAGAGAGGTGGACAGAGTTGACAGCAGTGAGCCCAATGTAGAGCTTGAACTCACAAACTGTAAGATCATGACCTGAGCCAAAGTTGGATGCTTAGCCAGCTGAGCCACCCAGGTACCCCAGCAATATGTATTTTTAAAAAAAAAATAGCAGTTCAGGTCACCTGGGTGGCTGAGTTGGTTAAGTATCTGACTCTTGATTTTGGCTCAGACCATGATCTTATGGTTCGTGAGATCTGAGATCCATGCTAACAGCATGGAGCCTGCTTGAGATATTCTCTCTCTCTCTCTCTCTCTCTCTCTCTCTCTCTCTCTCCCCCCCGCCCTCTCCCTCTCCCTCTCTCTGCCCTGCTCCCTTTTCTCCTGCTCACATTCTTTCTTTCAAAATAATAAATAGACTTAAAAAAATAGTTCAGGCATTGTATTTCCAAGTGGCTTGTTCATGTTACTTTTTTTTACAAAGTGTTTATTTATTTTGAGAGAGGGAGAGAGAGAGAGAGCAAGCGTGCGAGTGAGCAGAGGGGCAGAACTCACCCCAATGTGGGGCTTGAACTCACCAACTGTGAGATCATGACCTGAGCCAAAATCGAGTCAAATGCTTAACTGACTGAGCCATCTAGGCGTCCCTCATGTTATTTTAATTAGGGGAACATATAGAAGGCTAGGGAGAAAGATAGGACCCTTTGTATTTAATCCCAAACCAGACTGAAATCTTGTCATTTAGTCAGGACTTTTGAAAATCGTTCTTTTCTACTCTTGTAGAGACACTAATATACTGAATACTTAATGCTTGAATTTTACCTCAAATTAGTTTTTTATTGTATGACACTATAAGGAATGCAAAGTCATGTAAAATGCAGTCTGCCCTCCAAATTTCTAGTAGGAGAAATAGAGATGTATTTCAGAGCAGCCCATAGTAATAAATTGTACACTGTGGCCCAGTACATTTAAGTGTACATTTGTATGTTTATATTATCTGATACAGCATTTTCATTAAATTGTATTTATATTTGTTTTATGTAATGTACTCTGATGCTATCTCTTCTGTTTCTGTATCCTGTTCTGTTCCATTTTTTAAGAATGCTGGCATTTATTTCATGACCCACTAATGAGTCATATTCTTCAGTGCTAAAAAAAAAAAACAAACAGGGGCGCCTGGGTGGCGCAGTCGGTTAAGCGTCCGACTTCAGCCAGGTCACGATCTCGCGGTCCGGGAGTTCGAGCCCCGCGTCAGGCTCTGGGCTGATGGCTCGGAGCCTGGAGCCCGTTTCCGATTCTGTGTCTCCCTCTCTCTCTGCCCCTCCCCCGTTCAAGCTCTGTCTCTCTCTGTCCCAAAAATAAATAAACGTTGAAAAAAAAAAAATTAAAAAAAAAAAACAAAACAAACAAACTGGAGTATGTTAAGTATTATTTTAAACCATTTTGTACCTTACTTCCGTTGAAGCAAGTGTGCACGGGATGGACACTTGCTTCAAAGATGGGCCCTGCATGTAAGGTGTGTGACAAATTCCACCAGGTTTAGGTTCAGAAGATACCCATAGTCCTGCTTCTACCTTGATTCAACCAACATTTAGTTTTAGATCACTTTCTTGAGAACTTTATTCATCAAAGAATCCCCCAAACGGTTTAAACGTCTATGGAAGTTCTCTTTCACTTTATGGGGGTGTGTGTACACATATAGCTACTACACTAGCACTTTAGAGCATTTCGTGAGCTGCTATCTCCTTGTCTAACTTGTATTTTACCCAAAGTTAACAGGGAAATAGCTGGAGCACTATTTCAAAAAACGTATCTCCAATAACATATCAGCAGCTGAGGCTGATTATTAGAAAATACTAATTAAAGAGATAGGGGCTCCTGGCTGGCTCAGTCAGTGAAGCATGCAACTCTTGATCGCCAGGTTATAAGTTCAAGCCCCATGTTCAGTGTAGAGATTACTTAAAAATAAAATCTTAATTAAAAAAAGGTATGTAAGTATGTGAGGAGTGATTCTGATAAATGTAATTGTTAATATCCATTTTCTTTTATTTACACATAGAACAGTCCCTTCGACTTATTCCTCTGCAACACTCTAAGGTGGCCAGTGTTGTAAGAGATCAGAATCTTTCTAATGTTTGGACAGTTGAATATGCCCTTGAATTATTACTTATTGGTGGCCTAGTTCCAGAGGCTGTGTGGTTGGCACATAAACTTGGAGACTGGAAGACATCTGTTTCAATTGGTGTGGCCTTCCAACTATTCTGTAAACATGATAGTAATTTCACAAGGTATGTATTTTTAGGCAAACATAGGTTGAGAAACAGTATAATAGTATCATCTAACTATTTTTTATTTCTCTCATTGCTGGCATTTATGCACTTTGTGGAATCCTTAGTCCAGAATTGTCCAATAAAACTTTCTTCAGTGATGGAAATGTTCTCTATGTGCAGTTCAGTATGATAGCTGTTAGCCACATGTAACCATTGAGCACTTGAATTGTGGCTAATAAGACCAAGGAATTGAATTTTCAACCTAATTTAAATTTAAATAGCTAAATGCAGTTAGGGGCTACTGTGTTGGACAGCTCAGCAGCTCTTTTGTGTTAAATCTTTTATTAAAAAAAAAAAAACAACCTTTTTATTTAGCACATTTGTTAGTAATGTCCTCAAAGTGCTTATAAGTCAATGGGAGAGTTTGCCTATTTTAAGTAGGGTTTGAATTTTAAGTTAATAAATCTAATCTCTATATTTTAACTTTTCTATTATAGTACTACTATATCTTTGATATTTTTCAGTTCAATAATTCAACACATGTGTATTTCTTAAGTAAGTGCTCTGTACTAAGCTCTGTGCCAGGTAGTTTAATGGATATAAAGTTAAATGGTACATAGACTCCATGTTTAAGGCATTTATAGTTTAGTAGAGAAATTAAGGCAAAACATTATTATAATTTAGTGTATGTGCTGCCAAAGCGAGCACAAAACATTATTATAATGTAGATAATATGGTAAGAAAAGTGCCAGTGGTGCAGTGGAGAGAGCAATAATATCAAATGGGCATAGGACAGGAAATGGAGATAACATTTAGATGGGCATTGAAGGAAAGACAGAATCTCAACAAATTGAGTAGCTGTGGAGAGAGATAACATTCCAAACATGAGCAAAGGCATATGGTAAAAGACAAGTTTGGTTCAATTTGGATCGAGTAGTATGGAGGGCAGCAATGGGAAATAATGATGGGAAGGTATATTAGTATCATAATCCTGGAGACCCTTAAAAATCTCCTTAATGTAATATTTCCCCAATTATTTTCCCCCAATTATTACTTTTTAAAATAGAGGATGAATAAAAGTAAATTTCACTGTTCCTTAACATATCATGTTTAGCTCTTAATGTGTTAATATTTCCTTTTTTCAGAATTTGGATTCATTTTCCTTAATTTGATGTGATTTCAGGTGCAAGAAAAAGGGTCTGAATTTGCCAATAAATATGACTCCAGCACAGATTTTCCAGGAAAAACTACAGTGTTTTTTAGGTCGGCCAGCCTCTTTGGAAACAAAAAATGAAATGGGCTCAAAATACAAACAATTTACAGGTGTGTTACCTACATATAGTCTGACATATATATCAGCTTAATTGATATAAACCTTCTGATATTTTAAAAAGCTTATTAATATCCATAAATATATTAACACTTTGAAGTAAGCTTATCAAATATGAAAGTTATTCTTTTTTTTTTTAAATTTTTTTTTTTCAACATTTATTTATTTTTGCGACAGAGAGAGACAGAGCATGAACGGGGGAGGGGCAGAGAGAGAGGGAGACACAGAATCAGAAACAGGCTCCAGGCTCTGAGCCATCAGCCCAGAGCCCGACGCGGGGCTCGAACTCCCGGACCGTGAGATCGTGACCTGGCTGAAGTCGGACGCTTAACCGACTGCGCCACCCAGGCGCCCCTGAAAGTTATTCTTAATCATGGGAGCTTCTAAAATTTATGCCAGCTCAAAAAACAATGATCAGTAACTGAATGATACTCTGATTTTTCATACATATTTTTTGACTAGTTGTATTTTGCTATATTTGGATTATTTTCTTTTGCAGTCATAGAGTCATAGAATCTCATAAACAGGAGGGTACTTAAAAGTATTTAGTTCAACTCTTGCCTAGTGCATAAATCACAGAGTTGGTTTTGTTTTTAATTTGAAAATTTTATAGTAGTATTACAAAATTAAAAATAATGTAATATCACATATATTGCATAGATTTACTCAGGAGCCCTGTAAAATTTGTTTTATAGCTGGAGACATTTAGATGAAAAGTAATGAAGTTGGGTACTTAAAGTTGTATGTGCTGACTACTGTAGGACCCTTTGGTTTTATTAGTTCTTGTCTCCATTAAGCAGAGAGGCTTCTAACTCTAGATTCTTAGAACTTACTAATTGTTACTTCTCTTTCCAGAAAGAATGCATAATACCTGGAAATCTTACTGAAAACTTTGATAATTACCTGCCAATATTTTTGAAAATAAATGGAGAGAAAATGTAACTACATGAAAGTTGGTTTTGAAAAAAAAGACTAAAAGGGACACCTGGGTGGCTCAATCAGTTAAAAAAGTACTATGGTGGAATGTTAAGAAAAAAAATTACTCTCCCACTAGCTGCATTCACATAATGTTGTATTTTATTTTGGTGTCTTTCCTGATATTTTTTTCCCATCAGTATTTTTTCATTTATTATTTTTTAACTCAGGACTATGTTCCAAGTATATTTTTGTTACATAGTTGTTGTTATTATAATATCTTGTATAATTTTGCAAAAGGTCTTATGCTCTGATCTTTTAAAATTTTTTAATTTTTATTTGTTTATTTGATAGAGCGAGCATACACAGGAGAGGCAGAGAGAAAGAATCTTAAGTAGATTCCACACCCAACACGGAGCCTGATGCGGGGCTGGTGCTCATAAACCATGAGATCATGACCTGAGCCCAAATCAGGAGTCCAGTGCTTAACCTACTGAGCCATCCAGGCACTGCACCCCTCTATAATCTTTTTTTTTTTTTTTTAAATATTTATTTATTTTTGAGAGACAGAGAGACAGAGCACAAATTGGGGAGGTACAGAGAGAGGGACACACAGAATCAGAAGCAGGCTCCGAGCTGTCAGCACAGAACCCGATACAGGGCTCAAACCCACAAACCATGAGATCATGACCTGAGCCGAATACCTGAGCAGATACTCAACTGACTGAGCCATCCAGGCGCCCCTGCCCCCCCTCTATAATCTTAAAGTAACAGAATAGTTATTAAATTTCTGTGTAGAAGTTGAGATGTTTTGCATGTCAACCATTATGTTCATTTTTGATGATAATTTTTTTCAGATACGAAATTTTATACTACAAAATAGGATCAGCATAATATAAATTTTAACTATTTTACTTAATTTTGTATTTGGTAGATCCCATTGAAGAAGAAGATGCAAATCTCCTCTTTGGTTCAGTGCAGGAAGTACTGAAAGCAGCAGTTATGGCTGATGCAGATATTCTTTCAGAGACGTTTCAACTTCTGCTAAACTCTGCCAAGGACTTCAGTAAGAGACTGTGGGGCTTAGTCCCGGTCGGCTTGTATCTCCCGGCTCCTCCATTATATTGTCCTCAGCCAGCTATTCTTAGTGAAGTAAGCTTATTTCTTAACCTTTTAACTGATTTAAAGTTGATTTTATCCAAATTTTACAATAGACAACTTGATAATACTTATCAAGTTAGGAATGCAAGCTCTGAAGACAAACTTCCAGATCCTAGCTTTGCTGTTTATTAATTGTATAATCTTAAGCAATGTACTAAACTGTTTAAGTTTCCTTATCTGTAAAATGCAGATGATGATAGTACCTGTAATAATATTATTGTTAGGATTAAATGAGATATTCTGTAAAAGCTTTTACCTTAGGGCCTAGGCCATATAGTACACATTCAATAAATATTAAAATTATTGCAATAATAAAACAAAATCAAGAGAGGATTCTCTATATGCAGGTTTTAAAAAAATAGATGTTTGTTTAGGGTAATAAATAATAAATGTCAGATTTTAGAAGACCTACATTATTTTGGTCTTTTATTTACCTCATTGTCTTTGATTCTTTTGAAAGACTTCTTTTGATTTTTTTTTTTTTTAATTTGATAGGTCATTTTTTTCTTCTGCACTATTCAATTGATAGTTCTGTCATATAAACAGCAAGACAGTGTTGCACTCAGGAACTTTTTCTCTGCTCTCACTAAAAATCACAACATTATAATTAGCTGGCTTTAAGATTTACAGTATGAATGCAAATTATTTTAATGTTTGATTGATATTTTTAAGTGATTCTGGTATTGTTTCTTTACTGCTTACTGTTTTAGTATTAGCAGCCTCTATCTCTTACCTGGTTTTTTCTTTTCCTTTTTGAGTTTTTTGTTATATTGTTATTTGTTATATTTAAGGTTATATTTCAATAGGTTAAAAATATTTCATTTATTGATATTTCAAATATAATATGTTATACATGGAAGAAATAAATAGTCCATTGTATTTCTTAATAATTCTCTTTTCTGTCACATCTGAGTCTTCAACACATTGGTTTAGAAATTAGGAATACCATTTAAGCTATTTTTGGAATAGCCTATGCTGATATTAGTTTGAGTGGTTACTATCCTTAGTAATGATTCATTTTATTATTTTGTTTTTATTAAAATAATCCTTAGTGGTAGGATTTCTCCTAAGTATCGCTCTATATCAATTAGGACCCTTTGGATTGGGTATAATAGAAAACTTGGTGAGTTGGCTGGCATAATTAAGAAGCCCAGTTAAGTAGGGTAGCCTTTTGACTCAGTTATGCTACCACAGACTTGAGCTCTTTCTCTCTAGTTTTCTAAGGTGGCAGTTTCAACTTAAGTCCATCTCTCTTTGTGGGAGCAGAATGGCTGCCAGCAGCTTCTAAGGATACCTTGTCCATGTCCAGAGGGAGAGAGAAGGGGAAAAACAAAAACAGTACAAGTATTTCTTCTCCAGCATTCCAGGCAAGGGTACTGGGAGTCACTCTTGGCTAGGGATAATGCAAAGTACATTTTATAGCCCCTTAGGGCCTTCCCCTGAGAGCTGGGGAAGTATCAGCTCTCACTGAATCGTATGGGCTATGTAGGGGAAGGGCAGATACTCCATTAAAAATTGAGTACTGTGAAGAAGTAACTGTGGTAGGATGATGGGCAAGCAAATGTTTAGATACTGTCTCATTCTCTAGAATCTAATTTTTAGCTACTGGCTTGTTAGTGTTTATTCAGCAAACGTTTGTTGGATCCTACTACATGCTGGACTTTATGCATTATGTTAATACAAAGATAGATGACAAGGTCTTTGCTTTTGAGTAGATCTCAGTATGGTGGGAAACATACATGAATCAGTACAGAATAATTTAGTGAAAATTGTCATGGATGTCTGAGCAAAGTGCCATAGTCACACACAACAGGAGAGCTTCACAGAGGGGCCGACATTGAAATATAAGGATTTTTCCAGGCATAGAAGGGAAAAGGCATTCTCCTTAAAAGGAGCCCTCTTTATAACATTCTACCAATGGAGTCTGGAGTGGTGGGCTTTAACTGCTTGTAGGGGAAGACTTAGGCTTAGGGTCACTTTAGCCCTTTACATTATTTGAGATGAGAGATTGACACTAGAAATAGCTATAGTTGAAATCTATGAGGCCATCCCTCAAAATATCCTTCATAAATCCCCAGGAACATTCTAGTTTGAGAAGCACTATTTTTATTTTCACTGTAACATTTAAAATTTTCATATTACTATCTACTAAGAATCGATTGTTTTATTTTCTTTAGGAAGATGGTGATGATCTTCTTTTAAAAGCTGAAAAGGATAATCGCCAAAAGGTGTCTGGAATCCTTCAGCGTGTTCTCTTGCTTTTCCGGGCAGCTCGCTGTTCTTTTCCGGTAGCACAGTGGTACATCTTGCAGTTGAGATGGGCAAGAAAAATCATGCAGAAGGTGTGGAGATGTCTTAGTCATTTATGTGCTATGCTATGTTAAACTATTTAAATATACTAATATTTATTAATATCTCCAAATATTTATAATCATGACATTTTCCCAAGGAATCCTATACTATGAATCAATAGATTTCAGGTTTGTTTATAATAAGCAACCTAGCCAGACTAAATTTTTTCTGCTGAAAGATAAGGACTCTGAACTGAGTCTCTTTGTTAGTCCCATCCTGTCTGACAATACAAAGTAAAATATAGTAAGTTATATATAACTGGTAGTTATATGTAGGTAGTTTCAGTTACTTTTTTTCTTTGTCCCACCATCATTGAAGATGTAAGCTCAGTTCAGGGTTTTCCCCGACTTCGCTCTGAAATACTATCTACTGTGTTCTGTGGGGACTAATGTGGGGTCAAGCCCTGGGAGGTTAGAGTTGGTTCTTGGCTGTGTGTTTTCTTTCAGTACTCTCCACCAGTTGGAGTCTCTCCCTTGCTATCTTCTGAGATGTGCAATTCAGTGTGATTCTAGGGCCATCATCCCCTTCCACACTGACTTCAGCTAAGTCGTAGTTGCGTTCTTACCTGATCAACAGATGGGACATTTGTTGGTATGTCCCTTCTCCAGCTGCACATCCTTTGTAGGCCAGTTGTCTGTCTCTGTGAAATGTGGAACTAAATATTATTAGCCCTAAATGTCTTTAATTTGGCCCTTGATTATGTTTAAAACAAGAATTTACTATTTTTGGTAGGAAACTTTAGACTTTGAGAAGTTACCAAGTTGTTTTTGAAAATTAGACTTTTTTTAGAGAGAACGATTTGTGAAATTTGCATACAGCTACTATAAAAATGTAAGATGAGGGGCGCCTGGGTGGCGCAGTCGTTTAAGCGTCCGACTTCAGCCAGGTCACGATCTCGCGGTCCGTGGGTTCGAGCCCCGCGTCGGGCTCTGGGCCGATGGCTCAGAGCCTGGAGCCTGTTTCCGATTCTGTGTCTCCCTCTCTCTCTGCCCCTCCCCCCGTTCATGCTCTGTCTCTCTCTGTCCCAAAAATAAATAAACGTTGAAAAAAAAAATTAAAAAAAAAAAAATGTAAGATGAAACTGTACCCATTCTGTATCTTGTTATCCCAAAGTTGTTTTTAAAGTATGGCAAAGAGTTTTCCTGTATTATTGAAAGATTGGTTTTAATAGTTTCAAGGTCTGCTGAGCCTGATTATTTGTTATAGGAAACGTCATTTTAAAAATTATTTAAGTAAACAGTTTTCTACAATAAAGTTGTAATTAGGTTTCCATTGAGGTTTTACCTTATGTACTAAATCCCAACAGTCATCTCATTTAATCTAGCTTTAATTAATGCAGCTAGCATAAAGACTGTGCAGATTCTCTTAAAATTATCAACACAGCTAAAGACATTCCTCAAAGGAGTAACAGGCTGCAGACTAGGGCCTTTGGGTGTATAGTCATTGCCACTCTTACTGTCCAGTGCCCTCTTTGTCTTGCGGCTTACCTTTAAAGCTTGTCAACCCCTCAGCTATACACACAAGTGACCTGTAAATTCCCTCTAATTCAGTCTTCCTAAAATACATCTGATAGTTTTATTGTTAGCCTGTGTATTTATTGATATTGGGAGAGGTGCCAAAGATGTGGAGATCCATTCTTATAGAAGTATGTACAATATATAAGTGTATATACTTCTATATTCTCCTGTATTGCTGTTTTCTCTGCCTTTTTCATTTAGACTTTATTGGGCATATAATTTAACTACAGATTTAGTTGTAGTAAATTAATGTTTTCTAATTGGTGGGAATGGCGGAACACTTGTTGCTACCAAAATTATAAGGTCTTTATTCATGGAAGCAAAAAATCATGTTTCTCATGAAGTTCATACTAAAATGTGACCTGGAGCTGCAGGAATCTGAACAATTGATAGGGGCCAGACATCTGATTACAAGATGGCTTGTGCACATGGCTAAGAAGTTGGTGCTGGTTGTTGGCCAGAGGCGTCCCCCTGAGGAAGTGATCCAAAAGACAGCAAGGTGGAAGCTACAATGCCGTTGTGATTTAATCCCAGAAATCCCATACAATCACTTCTGTATTCTGTTCGTTAGAAACTAGCAGGTCTAGGGGCACCTGGGTGGCTCAGTTGGTTTAGCATCCGACTTTGGCTCAGGTCATGATCTCGCAGTTCGTGGGTTCGAGCCCTGTGTCAGGCTCTGTGCTGACAACTCAGAGCCTGGAGCCTACTTTGCATTCTGTGTCTCCCTCTTCCCCTCCCCCGCTCATGCTTGTGATCTCTCTCTCTCTCAAAAATAAATAAAAAAACAATAAAAAAAAGAAACTAGTTGGTCTAGTAGGGTCTACCCTCAAGGTGAGGGAAGTTAGGCTGTACCTTTGAAGGAATGAATTGTTAAGAATTTGTGGACATATTTTAAAACCATCATACCATTATACCAAAGTGAACAATAACTCTTTATTAATTCCAATACCTGGTCCATAATAAAATTACTCTGATTATTTTGAAAATGTCTTTTTTATAGATTTTTGAAATCAAGGTCCAACTGAAGTTAACCCATGTTTGATTATGAGATAATAGGAAGGACTATATTTTCAAGTCTGACACATAAGAATCAAAAGACTTAACCCAGGATCAAACTTTATACCAATAATTTCAAGGATATAGGTAATTAAAAGACACAGGTGAAACCTGGACTTACATTGCTCCCAAGATTTTTCTTGCTGTGGAAGGATGTGACCTGGCCTCTGTTTAACATCATGACACAAAAGAGAACTATATCACTTATTGAACATGTCCTTTTTATATCTCTTTAATTATATAGCTTGTGTGACATTTTCCAATGAGCCATACTCCATAAATCCATGCATTATAGATTTATTTATAATAACCAACCTAGCTAGGCTCTGTACATCTAGTAAATACCATTGTTTGACAAGAAGTCTGTCATTAGAATGCTTACAAGGGGATTTGACAAGATCCTGTCTTTATAGAAATGAATAGAAGAGGGAGAAAATAGATTACAAGCCTGCCGCTAATCCTTTCATTTTTGGGTGTATGTCCCTTAGATTCCTTTCCTTTTATTCTATAGCAGTTTCCTTTAATTTCTTTTTCTTTTCTTGGTTTGTAGAGAAACTTGGTCATTTGTTCTGTACCGTATTCTGCATTTGTTTGATAGTTTATTCATTTAGTGTCATTTGACTTGTTCCTCTTTCCTTTTATTTCCTGTGAACTGGTAATTAAACTATATTCATTGAGATACAGAGGCTTGATCAGGTTCACATTTTCTTAGAAAAAGTTATGTAGGTAGGGGCAACTGGGTGGCTCAGTTGGTTGAGACTCCAATTCTTGATTTCAGCTCAGATCATGATCCCAGGGTTGTAGGATAGAGCCCCACGTTGGGCTGTATGCTGAGCATGGAGCCTGATTAAGATTCTCTTTCTCAAATTAAAAGTAGAACTACCCTATGACCCAGCAATTGCACTACTAGGTTATTTATTCAAGGGATACAGGTATGCTGTTTTGAGGGCACACATGTACCCCAATGTTTATAGCAGCACTATCAACAATAGCCAAAGTATGGAAAGAGCACAAATGTCCATCAACGGATGAACAGATAAAGAAGATGTGGTATATATACACAATGGAGTATTACTTGGCAATCAAAAAGAACAAAATCTTGCCATTCGCAACTACGTGGATGGAACTAAAGGGTATTATGCTAAGCAAAATTAGTCAGAGAAAGACAAATATCATATAACTTCACTCATATGAGGACTTTAAGACAAAGAACAGATGAACATAATGGAAGGGAAGCAAAAATAATATAAAAACAGGGAGGGGGGCAAAACAGAAGAGACTCTTAAAGGTGGAGAACAAACAGAGGGTTACTGGAGGGGTTGTGGGGGGTTGGGCTAAATTGGTAAGGGGCATTAAGGATTCTACTCCTGAAATCATTGTTGCACTATATACTAACTAACTTGGATGTAAATAAATAAAGTAAAAAAAAAAAATTCTCTTTCTCTCTCCCTCTGCCCCTCTTCCCCCTCACACACACTCTCTCTCTCAAAAAAAAAAGTTATGTAGGTAGATATACCTTTTGTCATATTTATTTTTAGGTACTGCACATAGTTTTATTTTGAATGAGAGTTAGATGCTTAAATTTCTTTATTATGCCTTTGGGGAAAGGACAAATAGCATCAAGTTCTATATAGGCAAAACTGAGTGACAGAAAAAATTGCCTACAACCTTCTTTTCTCTTTTGTGTTCTAACTTAGTGAATTTCTTGAATTAAATTTGTGAGCGGGGCACCTGGGTGGCTCAGTCAGTTAAGTATTCGACTCTTGATTTTGGCTCACGTCATGATCTCAGGGTTTGTGAGACTGAACCCCGCCATCAGGCCGTGAGCTGACAGTGCGGAACCTGCTTTGGATTCTCTCTCTCTCTCTCTCTCTCTCTCTCTCTCTCTCTCTGTATCCTTCCCCGTGCACATTTTTTTCTCTCTCTCTCTCAAAATAAATAAACATTTAAATATATGAGCCAAGTTTCTGAAAGGATAGTTCATTTCAGAGATACTTTCTTACACAGTATAAGAACCATGCTGTATTTTTCATTCTCTATGGTTTATGTTACCTGTCTTGTTTGTTGCTTTATAGTTTTTAAAAATAGATTTAGATGACTGATAATTAACATTCTATCATTCTTTCAGATTCGAATGAAAGGGTCCCTTCCTTCATTGAGTCCTTTCCCTGAGTCATTACTTAATTATTGTAAAGGAGGTGTAGCATTCTTTCGACCTGGAGCAGCTGGAGACAGCAAGCTTGATGAAGTTTCCGTTAAAGCAATAGGTTTGTCCAAAATGAACTGCTTGCTTAGAAATTAGGCCTAAATATTGATAATGATGTAATTTGCAGTTGATTTGGTGAAGTTTCTATACAGTGGAATATTATGCTGGCAATGAAAAGATATGTGTGTGTAACCACCGTGGAAATGTATCCAGGATACATTAAGTGAAAAGAAGAGCTAGTTTCAAAACAGCGTGCATAGTATAATTATATATATATTTGTGTACTTGTATTGCTTTTAATAAAAACATTGTTCAATAATGGAAAGTATGTTTCTAATATTAAAAAATTTTAAACTTAAATGCCTATCATAAATGATTTTCCAAATAAATGAGCTATACAGTATTAAGTAGAGCTATGTGTGTTGGCTTCGAACATTATCTACAATATACTATGAAGTTTAAAGCAAGTAAACTACTAGAGTAATTTATTTACTCTAGTAAATAGAGTAAGTTATTCTAAAACTGTTTTCAATATTTTCATGCAACTGACATGCGTGAAATGCTCTAGAATAATGTGTATAAAAATTATGAAAGGATTTCCATGACTTTTATTTAAGGTGTTGGCAATGAGCATATGTTTGTTTCATAATCAACAAAATAAAGACATTGGTTTTGGAAAAAAAAATACCCAGCAGAGGTGAAGTTGTTATAATAGTAATATACATACTAATCCAATCTTTTATATTTGTATCCCTGGTTTAGGTTGCTTCAGAGAACTTTGTGCTTTGTGTTGGATGCTACATGTTCGTGATAAGTTATCCTATAGTTGCAGGCAATATCAGAAAGCAAGAGAAAATGTGGAGGGGAAAAAGGTATTTACCTACACAAGAATAAGAAAAATGAACAAACATTACTTGGGAATTACTGCTTGATAGAAGGTTTTATTGTTTTCTGACAAACTTTCTTTTGAACTCATCCTGATCTATCCATCTAAAGTGAAAAGGAAATGTATTTCTCAATACCCATTTAGGACGTCGAAGTGGAGTTTGATTCTTGTATGGTTGAGCACGGTCTCAGTGCAGTGGAGTGGGCACACAGAATGCTGCCCTTTTCTCGGTTTTCTAATATTGAAGAACTTATTCAGGATCTAATTTTGAGCCTTATTGGAGAACTGCCACCAATCAGAAAGGTAATGTGAATGTAGGTGAAAAAAACTAAATGAAAATCAGAGACATTAAAGGATTTTTACTTTATTTTAATTAAAAATGATGTTGCTCATGAAACTCTTTTTTTAATTTTTCTGAAGGTAGCAGAAATTTTTGTGAAAGCATTTCCCAATCCTGAGGACATAAGGGTTCCTTTAAGAGAAAAATATCACTGTCTTCAACAGAGACTCAGACACTGTGTTGTGAAAGGTAGTATTTGTCATTTCTTAGATATCTGGTAGATAAATTGCTGAAGATTCCTCGGAAAGCATGTAGTTTCTAGTGCTTATGTTTTTATGCAGTTCTCCTTTCCTTGAAGATACTGTAAGAAGGCAGAAAGAAGCACTCCTCTATTACTGAAGCACCAGTTTTGCTTTGGAACCAGATAAAGATGACTTCATGTCATGGCTCTGTCAGTTAATGACTGTGTGACTATAGGCAAGTTGCCCAGTCTCTCTGAGCTCCATTTCTTTATATGTAAAATGGGTGTATTATTACCTACTTTATGGATGTGTATTAAAAGAGGGTTAAATAAGGTAAAATATATAAAATAAGCATACAGTGCTTTGCGTAAGGCAGATATTTTGTTGAAAACTAGTATTCTTCCTTCTAATTTTACCCTATACATTCAACATGCCCTTGTGGAAAATTTTTTTTATTGTGGTTAAAACATACATAATATAAAATTTAATATTTTAAGTGTACAATTCAGTGACATTAACTACATTTATAATGTGGAAATTTTTAAAGAATTCAAATTACCTTTTTTTTATAACTTAATCTAGTATTTAAGTCTAGTTATGTCCTATGATCATACATTATTGCATTAATATATTTTTGGTTTATATTTTTCTTAAGACTTTTTTGACATTCTCTAAAATGTATAGTGTATACATTTTATATATATGTTAATGTATAATAATGTTTAAACTTTTTTCTGTAGGCAGCCTTGAAAAACTTACATTCCTATTTCCCACTATTTGAAGTGAAAAAGTTGTCCTTGTTTCTTTGACTAAAATTGTACTCATTTTCTCTTATTCACCACTCTTGGGAATGAAAAAATAGTAGTGATTCTTTTTATAATTATCTGTCTGATTTTTTAAATAGTTAAGTTACTTCTTAATTTTTTGTTTTCCAGAGCACGTGTTTTTTTTTTTTCAACGTTTATTTATTTTTGGGATAGAGAGAGACAGAGCATGAACGGGGGAGGGGCAGAGAGAGAGGGAGACACAGAATCGGAAACAGGCTCCAGGCTCCGAGCCATCAGCCCAGAGCCCGACGCGGGGCTCGAACTCACGGACCGCGAGATCGTGACCTGGCTGAAGTCGGACGCTTAACCGACTGCGCCACCCAGGCGCCCCAGAGCACATGTTTTTATGGAGTCTGGGCTCTGTCCCTTTTATTGTTCTTTAATGGACCTTCTCTAACTTCTGCAATTCTACCTTAAAATATGCACCATAGCTTTCTGACAAATACAAAGCATGCTCTGTAAGAATGTGGAAATGAGTCTTAGTCATCAGTTGGATTCCATGTTCCCAGGAGGGACTGGAATTGGGTCCCCTTCTGTCTTTTTAAAATTTTTTAAAAATGTTTTTAAATTTATTTTGAGAGAGAGACAGAGAGAGTGAGTGGGGGAGGGGCACAGAGAGAGAAGGGGAGGGGAATCTCAAGCAGGTTCCATGCCATCAGCACAGAGCTGGATGAGAGGCTCGAACTCATGGAACTCATGAACGGTGAGATCATGACCTGAGCCAAAACTAAGAGACACTTAACCGACTGAGCCACCCAGGTGCCCCGGATCCCTTTGTGTCTTGAGTTGAAACATTTTAATGTGTTGTAATAAGGCTTTTTGTTTTTTCCTTTATAGGTCCCCAAACTGAGGAAATGATGTCTGTTATTATGCATTCTATTCATAAAGTGAGAATGAAAGCCCTAAAACGTGTGCAAAGAAATATAGGTTCTTTTGAAATGAATATCTGGGAACCAGTTGAAGAAGAAAAACCAGCTGAGGTTCTGGGTTTTGATAGGTTTTCCCTAGGAACTAGTTTGAGCAGGAGCACACTCACAGAACTGGGGAATTCTCTAGTCCACAGTGATGCAGATACAGCAGATACCTTCTCTGAAGCATTGTCAGTTGAAGAAAAAAGTAGGATACATTTCTCTGAAAGGTACAGTTGAGATCTCTTAATAGTAAGCATACACTTCCTTTGGAAAAAAATATTTTCAGCATTTCACGCAACAGATGAGTTGATTTCTTGTCCCAGAAACCTCACTGATTGCAGTGTTAACAATATGAATGATAAGTGCTACCCTCCTTTACTCACAAGAATATTAGGAGTGTAAAATGAAACTATATATTTGAAAATTTATTTAAAATATTATTGAGATATGAAATAATTTTGCTACCTGATAGTATAAAATCAGGTAAGTAGATGAAATTATAGAGTTCACTGGTAGGCTTTTACTGTTTTTAGTAATCTTCAGATTTAAATAGTTTAAGATTATTGGGTTAGCTATATTATTTTTAAGGGATTCCACGGAAAGAAATTGCACGTTCATCTTTGAAACTTGTCTATAAATTGTTGAGAAATTCTTATTATTTAAACCTCTATTAGTCTAGCTAGATTTTTTCTTTATAATTCCATTATCTGCAATTAAGTTTATCCTTCCCATGACTGAAAGACTAATTAATCAGCCATAATCTTGTTTAAATGAAGTAACTTTATCGACTTCAAATATAAGCATCTGCTTAAACCATGCCTCATAGTATTAGAAACGGTGTGCTTGTTTCACCAGACGATTTCAGTGTTAGCACAGGAATACAATGGCGGCTGCTTGTTGTGCCTTCTTAATAAGAGACATAGACCTCCAGCCCAGGTGCCTAACACGAGCCCTTTCTTTCCCTTATTGGGGGAACTAGGAATCTGTTCTTCCCTAAGGACCATGGTTAAAGGAAACATTTAAAAGTAATTGTGACCCAATGCTAATATCATCTTCAATGGGGAAAAACTGAGAGCATTCATTCCCCTAAGGTCAGGAACAAGACAGGGATGTCCACTCTCACCACTGTTATTCAACATAGTATTGGAAGTCTTAGCCTCTGCAATCAGACAACACAAAGAAATAAAAGGTATCCAAATCGGCCAGGAGGAGGTCAAACTTTCACTCTTTGCAGATGACATGATACTCTATATGGAAAACCCAAAAGATTCCACCAAAAAACTGCCACAACTGATTCATGAATTCA